GTAGACTGACCGTGTGACCGTGTCTGAGACCAGGACCAGATTTTTTGATAGTCTCATTACCAATTCGACTGATCCCATTACACGGTTTTAATATTAGATAGTAGTCTCATACTGTCTCAGTGAGACTTACTGTCTACTCTTATCACATTTTCCAAATGAGATCATGATTTTCACTTCTCAATTTAAATTATTTTTATTGCTTTAAATGACTTTAAATCTCATTTGAGCATTATCAAAAAGCGAAACTTTTTAAAAAATTAAAAATAGTCTAAAAAAAACCTTAAAATGTCTAAAAATAGTAACTTTATATCAAGAATGGGACTAAATAGAACCAAATGAGACCACTTTCTCATTTTTTTCAAGTCATAGTTTCATTTTAAGATCTGATATATAGTCACTTTACCTGTTTTTTTGATAGCCAGTCCCAGCGGGATTCACGCCAAGAAATGTATGAAACCAGATTAAATGAGATCAAACATGAAATTCATGATCTCAGCAGTCAGTCTACTCATCAGTCACTCTGACTCTGTAACAAGATCTTACAAAGAGAGTAAGATTTTATAAGTAAATATCAGTGAAAGATCTGAGAGTGCTGATACTTAGATGTATGAGATATTCATATGATTATACTTCTTCAGATTTCACAGATATCACATATTTAACAAATGATATAGTCATGTCTAATAATAATATAAAAGAACTCTTGAATATGAGTATAGAAGTGATATCACAGTGACTTCAAGCAATGTTGAAATTACAACAGTAATAGATAGCAGACATACATGCAACTCAACAACTTCAATATGAAGAGATTCAACAATTAACTCAATAAAGAACTTATATGATTTCAACATTTACAGAATTAAATATAAAAGCACTGAAGAAATACTTAGATGCTTTTATATATTTCAATACTTCTGATCTCACTCTCTACTCATTATGAAGAATGGAAATGCTCATGAAACTGAGTGTGAATGAAGATGTCATCAGTTCATTAATCAATCAAGGTTGATATATCAATGAATGATTAAAGAATCATGTGAAACAGAAGTTTTATTCATGAATGAAAGCATGTGAATCAGTGTTGCAAACATCTGATAATATCATGAAATATCTTGATGTTTCAAGACACTGTCATATAACAGAAAGTATTAAATTAGTTACAGAGCATCTGACAGAGAAAGACTTCTCTTACAACATTCATTTCTGACTTCAACATTAAGATCTTAGAAGCAGGTGATCAATCTTAGAAGAATTAAATGAAGATTAGTATACTTAAGAAGATATTAACTTTTAAACTCTTACAGAGTCTTATAAGTGTAGATAAAGACCAGACTTATAAAGACTTCTGCACACAGCTCTGAACATTGAATAACTATCTTATCAAGTTCATGAGTATACGGAATAGTAACAGAAGATGTTACATCTCAGTCACTTATACACTTACACTGAAGAATAACAATAATGCAGATGTCATGAATTAAGTAGACTTAAATATCTATACATAAGTAAGAGTCTCTGTCATCTGAACAGGCTTCTGAGTTTCTGAGATCACTTCTGAAGAAGTTACTGATCAATATTAATAAGAAGTATGTATCAACTGTAACTGATCAGAGTACATTACTTTCAACTGTCAATCAGTCTATGTATCTTCTTGCTCAAAGAATGAATCAGTGCCTGTTCATGTCAATTATGTTACATTAGAGAAGGATTCAGAAGATAACTATGAGAATGCTCTGATGAAACAGGAAAAAGATTAACTTATGTTTAAATTCACAAACAGAAGCTTAAAGAGATCAGATGATAATAATTTGAAGAGAAAATGATAATGAATATGATTCTTGTATCTACTGTGATTGATAATATGTATAATATCAAAGCTATGATAGACAGCAGTCTATGTTATTATACAATGATTAAATCTTCAGTTATAAGATGTTACAACCTTCAGTGTATTCTCTTATCAAAATCTCAACTTCTCACAGAATTTAATGACTCAAAAGACATTTGTATCTGTTACATGATGAAGTTGACTATAGATGTAGAAGAACATCAACATGAAGATATCTATGTATATAAAGTTAATAATCTTGATTATAATCTTATATTAGAACTTGTCTGACTATCTGAACAAGGCATCTTATTGAACACTTGAAACAGAACCTTGATATTCTCTAACAATGATAGAATTCATGAAGATGACATTCACAAGATCATGAATCTGATACAGATCTCTGTCAACACATATGAAATACTCTGAAAAAGAAGTTACTGATAGCAGAATTATATGACAATCTATTCTATTAGTCTGACTGATATTAAAAAGACTCTAGAAAAGTTATTCTATATTATAATAACAGATTCTTATATGAAACTCTTTTAATAATATCATGAATATCTAGATATCTTTTAATAAGATAATATTATGAATATATCTCTCTTACAAGATTCTGAAGTGAATCACAGTATTAAGTTAGAGAAGAAGAATGATAAGAATTCTGAATTATTATAAGACTCTCTTTATAACATGTTCTGAGATGAACTTCTTCTTCTTTGAAAGATACTCAATAATCTACCAATTAACTCTGGAAATGAACTGGATTGGAATAGATTTCTTGATTGAAATGAAAATAATTCTTCAAAGAAAATGCCTTCTCAACTGTACAGACTATACTCTCTGATCAAAAATCAATTTTCTTCTTTAAATATTGAAAAAGTTGATCATGAGAAGTTATCTCTCTGAAGAAAAAAGCTTGAATCTCTTATAGACTTATAAATAAGTGAACTATCAAAAGAGAAAGAATATGAACAGCATTTAAAGAGAATTTCTACAATCAATGTAAAAGACTCTATTCTGATTTATTCAGATGACTTAAAAAATGAGAACTTGAATAGATTAGGCGCAGACATTGCTTTTACTGAAGATAATATTAATTTTATCTCAGATTTCTGAAACCTAGACTCTGAATGTGAAGTCTTTGATACTGAACTATTTGTAATAGTGAAAGCTTTCAAACTCATTGAAATAAAATCTTATAAAAGAGGAAATTGTTTAAAAGAGATATAAATATTCTCTGATAGTCAAGCTGCTTTAAAAAGACTTAGAAATAGTCAGATTTATAATGATCAAATGAATCTTGAACTGATCTTAAACTCTGTTTTAAAAATTCAAAAGAGAAGAATATCAAAGCTGAGAATTCATCTGCACTGAGTTCCTGCTTATATGAATATTCATGACAATGAATTGGCTGATTCAGCTGTAAAAAAGAATGCAGAATTAAGCAGATCTATTCAAAAAATTATATTCTGATCTTTTATAAAGAGAAAAATAAAAGAATCTTGTTTAGATAAGTGAAATGAAAGCTGACAGAAATAAAAGAAGAGTATATATTATTCAAGATTTGAAATAAAACTCAAGTGAAAATCTTGTTTAATTAAATGTAAAAAGAAAATATTCTCATCTATAATACAGCTGAAACTAGAACATAGCTATTTCAAATCTTATATACAAAGATTTGATGATAGATTTAACTCAATAGAATGCTCATTCTGCAATATAAATGAGAATTCTGAGTATATTATAATACACTGTGCATTATACAATAGTCTCAGAGCCAGATTGAAAGAGAAGTATGATTTAAATCAATTAAATATGAGATTCTTATTCTCAACTGAGACAGGAATTAAATACTTAATAAACTTTCTATCAGAAACTCAAGCAGCTACAAGAAAATGACTAAATTCAGAATTATCTGAATATGAAGAGGAGAAAATTAATCAGATATAGTCTGTTAAAACAGCTATACACTCTCTTTTAATAATTTGTTTTGTTATAGTCTCTCTTTACTTTATCTTTTTCTGTATCTTTTTCTTTCAATTTCTTTCTATCTATCTATTTAATATGTTTATCTTTGAGACTGTGTTCTTTCTCTCTTTTCTTTTATCATGATATTGTCAAATGATTTCAAAGTATCAAAAGATGTTAAAACACTGCAATTTATAAACAGTTTTTGTATTCTGAGCTGGAATTTTCTGATTTTGCATATCTGAAATTGATGAATGTACAATAGTTAACTTTACAGACATAGAAAAAACTCTGAGAACTAAAGTTCTCAGGTAGATGTCATAGTCTCTGACTGCATACATCTATAATTGAAGAATAATAATAATAATAATAATAATACTCAATAATCTATTGAATAAAGAATTCATACATATTAGCAATTCTTCTGCTATAATCTCTATTCTCTTTGCAAAAAAACCAGATAAAGAACTTCAATTCTGTGTGAACTATTGAGAACTGAACAGAATAATAAAGAAGAACTGCTACTCATTAACTCTTATCAATGAAACTCTAGCTTGCATTGAACAAGGTCAATGATTTACAAAGCTAGATATCATCACTGTGTTTCATAAGATCTGCATCACTGAAGGAGATGAGTAACTTACAGTATTCTGAATATAATATGATCTCTTTGAATGAATAGATACTGTGGCGGGCTGCGCCCGATCAATCATATAGACTATTCCGTTACACTCCACAGATTCCACGTACGCTCCGATCCTCGGCCATTCTCGATCGCCGATCCTCGGCCGCCACCCCGATCAATCATATAGACTATTCTGTTACACTCCACAGATTCTACATACGCTCCAATCCTCAGCCATTCTCAATTGCCACTCCGATTCTCGGCCATTCTCAATCACTGATCCTCAGCTGCTACGAACGCGCATATATTCTTCCGCCCTGAAGCTCCACCGCGTACACCACCACATACACATATAAATATCCACCTCGATCGCTGATTCTTGCACTTTCTCTTTCTTTCCTTCTCTAGCGTTTTTATCTTTGTTATATAAGACCTATTAATATTATACTGATCTATTCAGCGTAGGCCCCTTACACTATAAAAATGTTCATTGTCTCCTTATTAGGAAACAATTATCCATGCATTGTCTCCTCATCAGGAACGATTATTCATTGAGAGATATTCAAACGCGTAACGACGCGTAAGAAAGAGAAAACACAGATAAGTGGACACTGAGTCCCCAGATAGTCCCCAGATAGAAGCTTGCTCGCCAGTCGCCCTGGCCCCGCAACAAGATCTTACGAAGAGAATAAGATCTTACAAGAGAACATCAGCGAAAGACCCGAGAGTCCTGACACCCAGATGTATGAGAATACAATTACACTTCCACAGATATCATACATCCGACGATCGATATAACCATGTCTAACGATAATATGGAACCCTCAAACATGAGCATAGACGCAGTGCCACAGTGGCTCCGAGCAATGTTGGAACTACAACAACAACAGATAGCAGACATGCACGCGACTCAACAACTCCAATATGAAGAGATCCAACAATTAACCCACGCAATTCCAACATCTACAGAATCGAATACAAAAGCGCTGAAAGAACACTTAGGTGCTCCTGCATATTTCAATGCTTCTGACCTCACTCTCTACTCATCATGGAGGATGGAAATGCTCGCGAAACTGAGTGTAGATGAAGATTCCATCAGTTCATTAACCAATCAAGGTTGGTATATCAATGGATGATTGAAGGATCGCGCGAAACAGAAGTTTCATTCATGGATGAAAGCATGTGAATCAGTGTTGCGAACATCTGACAACATCATGAGACATCTTGATATCCTATTCCAAGACACTGCCATGCAACAGAAAGCATTAGATTGGTTACAGAGCATCTGACAGAGGAACATTTCTCTTACAACATTCATTCCTGACTTTGACATCAAGATCCTAGAAGCAGGTGATCAATCTTGGGAGGATTGAATGAAGATTAGCATGCTCAAGAAGGTATTAACTTTCAAACTCTTACAGGCCCTCATAAGCATAAATGAAGACCCAACTTATGAAGGTTTCTGCACACAGCTCCGGACATTGGACAACTGTCTTACCAAGCTCAAGAGTATACAGAACAGTGGCAGAAGATATTATACACCTGCACTGACAAATAACCCAGCCACTTATACACCCGCACCGAAGAACAATGATGCAGATGTCATGGACTGGATAGATTCAAATGCCTATGCACAAGCAAGAGTTTCCGCTGTTTGAACAGGCTTTCGAGTCCCTGGGATCACTCCCGAAGAAGTCGCTGATTGATGTCAATGTGGAGTATGCATCAATTGTAACTGATTGGAACACATTGCTTCCAACTGCCGATCAACCTATGTGTCTTCACACTTGAGAGAGAGATCAGCGCCTGTCCGCGCCAACCATGTTACATTAGAGGAAGATTCAGAAGATAACTACAAGAATGCCCTGATGAAACAGGGAAAAGATTAGCTTCTGTTCAAATTTGCAAACAGGAGCTTGAAGAGGTTGGACAACAATGATTTGAAGAGAAGCCACTATGCAATGATAAAATCTCCAGTTGTAAGACATCATAATCTCCAGTGTATCCCCTTATCAAATACTTCTCACTGAGACCCCGCTGAACAATATAAGATAGGAGATCTGCCACAACTACCGCCGCGCCGCCACCGATCCGTTCCCTTCTCAACCGACCTGGACTCCGAGTTCCGCGTTATCCGAAACAGCAGTCCTTGACTGATGGGAACTGCTTCTGGAAAGGGGGGGCTAATGTGGCGGGCTGCGCCCGATCAATCATATAGACTATTCCATTACACTCCACAGATTCCATGTACGCTCTGATCCTCGGCCATTCTCGATCGCCGATCCTCGGCCGCCACCCCGATCAATCATATAGACTATTCCGTTACACTCCACAGATTCTATGTATGCTCCGATCCTCGGCCATTCTCAATCGCCACTCCGATTCTCAGCCATTCTCAATCACTGATCCTCGGCTGCTACAAACGCGCATATATTCTTCCGCCCCGAAGCTCCACCGCGTACACCACCACATACACATATAAATATCCACCTCAATCGCTGATTCTTGCACTTTCTCTTTCTTTCCTTCTCTAGCGTTTTTATCTTTGTTATATAAGACCTATTAATATTATACCGATCTATTCGGCGTAGGCCTCTTACAGTTACTCTCTTCAGACTGACTAACATTCTCAGTACATTTCAGAAGTATATTAACTGAGCACTCTGAGATTTTCTTAATGAATTTATATCTGTATATCTCAATGACATTCTCATCTTCACTGATAAGTTCAGGAAAGAATATCAAGAATATATACAGAAGATATTACAATGACTATAAGAAGCAGAACTACTGATAGATATTAACAAGTATGACTTTGAAGTCAAGAGTATTGAATATCTGAGTTTTATTATAGAAGCTGATAAGAGAATTTAAATGAATTCTGAGAAAGTCTCTGTTATTCTTGAATGAAAAGCTCTGTGTACTGTGAAAGATGTACAAAGCTTTATCAGATTTACTAACTTGTATCAGTCATTTATATGAAACTTCTCAGATATTGCATGATCACTTACAGAACTTATTAAGAAGAACTCAGTATTTCAGTTGTGGTTCGGAAGAACGTACGACCGTCGGATAATAACGCGGCCGCTTCCGAACTACTAGCGTACGAATGTAAAGGGGGCCCTAGCGGCCACTAATTAATTTAGTGTACAAGATTCAATATATAAGAAGCCGGTGTACACCTGTAATCATATGCTGGCTTAAGCAACTTTTGAATCACATCTGATAGCATGTCTAAAAACTGATGAGAAGCACAGGCTTCTTCAGAGTATGATAATTCTGTCTACAAAGCAATTCATAGTTATCATGTCAGTGTGATCCTAGAACATCTCAAAAGATAGTGTATAAAGAACAGTGAGTGAAAGAGCATCTGATTGATACTGCTTTGCTTATTGAGGAAAAACTTCACACTCAGATGAATATCATATATATGAATAGATGAGATGTGAGAAAAAGAGATAAGAGCAGTGAATCAGATTCAAAGAAGACTGCTCTTCACTTAAAGAAATAAAAGAGAGAAGTGATCATCACTGAAGTCATACAATAATAACAGAAATCATATAATGATAGACATTATATAATCAACCAGAAATCAATCACTGAAATGAATATCTTTTCTAGTTAATACAAATAACACTCTTCTCTGCTATCTGAACTGAAAGATATGCAGAATCTCTCAGAGAGTTTACTCAAAGTAGTAAGAAAAGCAGCTGAGATCACTGAATCAGAATCAAAGCTCTGTACATATACAAGAATTCTAAACAAGATTGAGATCTTGTATACACAGTGATAGACTGAGATAGAAGTTAAACAATAATTAGTATTCACTGCAGATCAAGTATTCACTATGAAGAGCTTCACTGACATAATTATTATCATCAATAAGAATAGAGAAAATCAGATCTTAGATCTGCAGTGAGAGATTGAATGATTATATAGATAGATAACTATACTGAACCTGAAGATCTTATCATGATTATTCACAATCTTTTCAGAAGTATATATATTATCAGAGATCACTGCACAGAATGAGAATCTGAGCATAAAATATATCAAGCTGAGAGATCTGCTGAAGTTATTAAGCTTTAATAGTAACTGAAAAAATAATGCTGTAATCAGCTGACTAAGTCAGATGTAATTATATTATCAGATTGAATATGAACTCACAGACAGACAGTTAATGAAATTTTAATAAGTCTTAAGATCTATTATATTTCTACACAGAAAAGTAAAGTCATTATAAATGACTGATAAAAAGATAAATCTTACAGATCTGAAGTGATATTCATTCTTATAAATATAAAATGAGTTTTTCAAATGAATCTTACATAACTTTGAGAAAGTGAATATATAAGATAAGTGTTACAAACACTTCACTGAGTGTAGATAAGTGAGTAATCTTATATTATACTTCACACACTTCAGCTTATAGTATCTCATATTAAATGAAGAGCTTTCAACATCTTTCTGTTTACAGATCTTTATTCATGATCTTATATCTGAGTTAAGAGTAGAATGAAAATGCTTAATCTTATAATCAGGTATAATGAAAGAAGTATACAACATTCTCATTATATAGAAACAAGTGAGTTAATTATAATAGAAAATACTGCAATTAAGTATATCTCAGTGAAGAATAGATAATCAGACTTCTATAACACAAGTTATATATCTGAATGTGATGAATCTAAATCTGAATGTTATTACTAAAGCACTGAATTCTCTGAAAAAGAGATTCTCTGAGTGAAAACCTTGATATTGCAAGCATCAAGCTTGCTTCAACTATAGATGTCAAAATCATGATGTAAAAGATTGCACTCAGCATACATAGTCAAGAGAAGCAAGAAAGTCAAAAAACTAGCAGAATCAGTGAGCTTGAAGACACTCACTGATATTCTATGAAAAGTCTTCAAAGTGAAAGAGATGTCTGTGTTAGATGACTCTCTGAATTCTGTGAATATCAAGAGAAAGCAGGCTTCTGACTGAGATACAGATGAGAATGAAGTGAACACTCATCTCAATACCTTGAGACCTGAAATGTTAATGTATAGAGAATACTTGAATAAGAATTGAGAGATGACTGTAAAAGTATTAGCAGATACAGAAGCTTCTACACAATATATTGATAATTATATAATTCAAAGATTGAAAGAGATTCACTGAGTGAAGAATTCTCAACATATAAGATTATCTGATAACTGATATTTGATATTATCTGTAAAAGTAAGAGTTCCCTTGCACTTTGAAGAATAATCTTGCTATATTTGAGTATGAGAGCTGTAGAATGTGAAATACAATCTTATTCTCAGACTTAATTGATTTCAAAGATTCAATCTGCAGATTCAATGATGTACATGTCATATACAGTTGACTGATAGAAAGAAAATGATTCATACAATTCTATTAACTGATATGAGAAGAACATTTCACATCTCTGATATAAAAGAGTTAAATCTGCTTATACATTAATAAGCAAAGAGAATGATTTATAAGATCTCATCTGAAAGTATTCTGTATGTCATACAGGACCTGAAAGTAGAGAAAACCAAGATAAAAGATATACAGAAGAATAAGTGTATGAAGAAGCTTCTGAAGAAGTATGAAAAGATCTTCTGAACAGATCTTTCATCAGAATTGCTGCTAGAACAAGAATTCATACATAAGATTGATATGAGGAATGCAAAATCAGTCAATCAGAATGCATATTCTCTGTCATAAACACATCTTAAAGAACAGAAGTGTCAGATCACAGACCTTCTAAAATATAGTCTTATATAATTCTCATCAAGTGCATGAGACTTTCCAGTTCTATTCATGAAAAAGATGAATGAGAAGTGACAGATATGTATTAATTATCAAGCACTTAATAAGCTTATAATCAAGAATGAATATTCACTGTCATGAATTTAATAACAGTTGAATACAGTCAGAAACACCTGATATCTATCAAAGATCAATCTTCTCTCAGAATACTGACAGATTCACATAGATGAACTGTCAGTCCTGCAAACTGCATTTAATATATAATGAGAGAAGTTTGAATTTCTGACAATGTCATTCAATCTGATAAATGCATCTATCATCTTTCAAATAATGATGAATACAATTCTTCATAAATAGAATGAAATCTTATATCTTATATATCTTGATGACATTCTAGTCTTTTTAAACTCATATAACAAATATCTGAAGTATCTTGATAAAGTGCTTATAACTCTGACAGAGTATAAGCTCTATATCAAATCAATCAAGTATGTATTTGAAATGAAAGAGTTGAAGTTTATAGAACATGTAGTGAGTGATGACTGTATAAGCCTCATTCTGAAGAAATTGAATATTATAGTAAATTGATCACGGCTGAGAAATATACATTATGTATGACAGTTTCTTGAGTTAGTCTCATACTACTGCAGATTCATCAAGAATTTCACACAAATATCTGCATCACTCTCAGATCTCTTAAGAGAAATAGATGCAAATCTGCAAAAGAACAAGTTTTGTTCAATCATCTGAAATGCTGCATGCAAAGAGACTTTTCTCACACTGAGAGAACATATAACAACATTCTCAGTGCTTATTCAATCAGATTGTAATAAACCTTTCTACATCAAGACAGACATATTCAAATGAGCTATTGAAGACACTCTTCTACAGATGAGTAAGAATAACAAGCTGCATCTGATAATATACAATG